CAAGGGCAGGTGCCAGGAGGCCAGGGAGGTGGTGAGTGCCGTGGCCCAAGTGTGGGATGGTGGGGCCGGGCCCCTGCTGGAGGGCAGTGGTTGGACTGTGGAACGTGTCTCAAAGGTGGAGCCGACAAGATTTGCTGGCGCACCAGATGCAGGGTGGGAGGAGACACGCAACGATGGCGCCTAGATTTTCGCCGGAACCGCTAGAGGGATGGAACTGTCAGTCAGTGACTGGAAATGCTGGGCGGGTTTGAGGGGAGAGCCCAAGTGTGCCAGGCTGGAGTTGGGAGATGCCTAGATGTGCAGCACGTGGAAATGTTGACGATAAGTCTATAGTTCAGGGCACAGACCCGGATTTGAAGCCAGCTGGGGAGTCGTTAGCCTAGAGGTGACATAAGGCCCTGAGGGTGGACAAGATCACGCAAGGGGTGAACACAGATGGAGACGAATGGCTAAGGACCGGGCCCCAGCCGGGTCCCTGTCATTAAAGGGATCGGGGGCTACAGAGGTTGAGGAATTGCCAGGGAGGTGACGCGGAAGCCAGGAGCATGGAGTCCTGCCTAGAAAGCACACGTGGAGTGTTTCCAGAAGGGAGAGAGCAGCTACGGCAAAGGCTGCCGGAAGGTCAAGAGGAGGGACCGAGCCAGCACCCGATGCAGCCACCGCAGGTCATCGCTGGTGGCCTGTGGACGAGTCCGGTTGATGGAAGGGGGGGGTGGTGCGGGTAGCTCAGAGCTTGGCAAGAAGCTTGGGTCCTAGCACGGTCGACACGCGACAAGTCACCTGTCCCGGAAGAGCTGGGCCCCTCACCGTGCCCTGCCCACAGGCCCCTTCTGGATCTGTGCCACACTGGCTTTCGTCCTGGCCGTCACTGGCAACCTGACGCTGGTGCTGGCTCAGAGGAGGGATCCCTCCATCCACTACAGCCCCCAGTTCCACAAGGGTAAGTGGAAAGGGCAAGGCCTAGCCCCGGGCAGGGCTGGGAGTGCCGTGGGGCCCGGAGCTGGGGGGGAGGGGGCGGTGGTGACTGCCTGCCCTGCCCCGCGCCCCGCAGTGACCGTGGCCGGCGTCACCATCTACTGCTACGTCTGGCTGGTGCCGCTGGCGCTGTGGGGCTTCCTGAGGTGGCGGAAGCGTGTCCGGGAGCGCGTGGGGCCTTACACCTTCCTGGAGACCGTGTGCGTCTATGGCTACTCCCTCTTCGTCTTCATCCCCACCGTGGTAAGTGTGGCCCGGGGATGGGGGCGGCGGGCGCCATGGGGACGGCCCGGTAGCCAGCTGCCCGTGTCACCCCCAGGTCCTGTGGCTCATCCCTGTCCCGTGGCTGCAGTGGCTGTTTGGGGCGCTGGCCCTGGCCCTGTCAGCCGCTAGCCTGGTGTTCACCCTCTGGCCTGTTGTCCGAGAGGACACCCGGTTGGTGGCCGCCGTGCTGCTCTCCACGGTCGTGCTGCTCCACGCCCTTCTGGCCACGGGCTGTAAGGTATGGGGGTGGGCGGGCGGGCGGGAGGCCGGGCCTGGGGTCGGGGCATCACCGGCCCCCACCGGCGCTGACCCTGGGGGGCTTCGGTTCAGTTTTACTTCTTCCAGCCGCTGCCCCTGGAGCCCCTGGCGCCTCCACCCCAGACCACGTCTCTGCCCCTAAACCTGCTGCCGCCGCCCACCCCAAGGTCCCAGGTGACCTAGGAGGGCCCGAGCCGCAGGTAAGGATCAGTTTCCGGCCGTGACTGAGGGGTCTTCCCGCCTCTCCTCCTCGACGGAGGCCTCACCAGGCTGGCTGCTCTTAGGAGTCTCTCTCTTTCAGGCTCCACACGAGGGGACGCCTCCGCCTGCCCTGCCCCTCACACGAGGACTGAAGGCCCCCTTGACACCTCGAGATCGCTCTGCTACTTTCCAGACTTTTCTTACAAAGCAAACACTTTTATTTTCTATGCAAAGGTGATTTAGAGAATTTATATAAAGGTGGGAAAGGGGCAGCCAAGCAGGGAGCTTCCGGTGTGGCCGTCGCCCCACGGGCTGCCCGCTAAGGCCTCTGCTTTCCCTGGGGGGACGGTCGGGAGAGCAAAGAGGGCCACCCCCACCTCAGCTGTGCCTGCCCTTCCCGGGGTGCCCGGTCAGCAGGTCCTGGGGCCTCCTCACCTGAGCTCCACCACGGCCAAGTTTGGAGGGGTTAGAAACGGGGCGGGGGAGCAGAAGTAGAAGAAAATGGCCTGTGCTGAAACATACATTTCCTCGTTTATTTTTTTTGTTTTTTGGGGG